AAACTGCAAAGCCTGTTCCAGTATTTTAGTGAACAACTGGAATGTTGAGGAGTAGAATGTTCTGTTGTTCCTGTTGCTAGACAAACAGTGAACTGGCAGGCTCCGATTAACATGCAAAAAAGGGTTCAGAACTACACTGATGCACAGTAGACTGGAACAGAGAAGATCAGATGATATGAATGGATGAGAAAGAATTCCTTCATATTGCTTAGTCACAGCTGGGATCACGGATCAAAGCCCCTTTCTTGATGTGTGTTGAGCGCGTGGTTGGAAATCAGAGCTCACATCTGAGCCTGTAGTATGGATTTTACTTTGAAATTCACAGATTTTCTGCAAAGGTGTCAGCAACTCGCAGATGTACAATGTGAATGAGATGTTTCTTTTCTAAAAGCAATAAGCAATAAACTGAGAAATATGAAGTCCTACTAGCTACTAAAGGTTAAAAAGGACTTAGATGGATTTCATGTTGATTCTACTTCAAACAGCTTCAGAAATCCTTTTAGTGCCAGTGTTCCGATAATTAAATTTCTCAGTTTTTGGGTCTTGTTAGAAATGCGCAGTAGGTATAGGAAGTATTGACCTCCTTAAACCTCTACCACATTTTCTTGTTACAACCTCAAATTGCAACATTTGAACAGGTTTTTTTTTGTACGACTAACAAAACATTTTGATGTGGCATTATCATTTTTATTGTAACTATACAGCCCAGATTTGTGGAGAACCTGTGCTATTGTTGACTCACTCGGGTTCTCCCATCTCAGTTATGAAACATTGTAGGTGTCTGAGGGTTGTTTTCAGTCTCCTGGCTGCTTCTCTGACCAATGTCATTCTTGTCTGGCTGCAGAGTTTTGGTGGAAGACATGGTCGATTTAAGATGCTGAGTTGTATGTGGTCCTCCCCTTCCTGTTAATTGATACTAAAAAGTTGTATCAACGTAAATGTATGAGCTGTATCATTACCCCAGCATAAATTTAATATAAATTGGAGTTTGTTGGTTTACACCTAAAGAAAAAGAATGTATGGATGAACCTGCATTATAATGCACTAGATCATCACAGTTTTATTTACTTCTATTTGTAGTTGATTAGATTGAGTTGTCAGTCACGCACCCAAAAGAAGTATTTATAAACCCATTTCAAATATAAAAATCTACTCCTGGTTAATTAACAGCATTTGTGATACAACATCCAGAGTTTTCTGTCCAACTTTTCCAAATTCCAAGGGAAATTACAGTCAATGTCTGAAACTGCCCTCTGAGGATAATTTGTAGGATAATTTGGTGCTGAAAATCTGCCCGTATCGCAGTTTGAAAGTGGTTTAATTAATTCTCTATCCAAACCTTTGTTTGGCTCTCTGATGTTGACTTTCTGTGTCGCCCAAAGCTTTGAAGTCCTGCTCACGCTAAAGACAAGCTGGCTGATTTCTGATATCTTGTGGTTAGGAATTTGTTTTCTGATTTTATGTTCATGGATGGCCTCTTCAGAGAGACTGGGAATTTTCCGTATGAAGAATTAAGATTCGTCAGCAAACAACAAAACCTGAACATTGAATGTTTAAACATTCTGTAGTATTTCCTAAGAAAAATAATAATATACTTTAATGTTGCAAACAGTTGTACAGCATTTATAAATTTGTTAAAAGGTAGTTCCCTATGATTTACTGTTTATTTGTGTTTTGTTATTCTAATTTTAGGGTTTTTAAAACATTTTTCATTCATCTCTATTGCATTTGTCTCCCCTATACAAACGGGGGAAGTTTCCTCTCTCTCCCTCCAAACCTCATGCTACTTTGTTCTTTCTCTTCTCCCTGCCTCTCCCTGTGATCAGCACACACCTGTTAACCATTAAAGGACAACAGACCCCAATGAGCCTGCAGTTCTGCTCTCGCATCCCTCCTTCCTCACTCACAGACACAGCTGGGGAAAATAAGGGAGGATCTTTGCCGTATCTTGAACAGTGATTCTTTGTTTTCACCGAGTGGCTAAGAAAAGGTTGCTTCTGACTTACAGAATGTAGAATTGGGGCGATGTGAAGAGTTCTGAAGCAGAACCCTTACATAACCCAGGGAAGTGGAAGTTTTACAAATCACATTTACGTGAAATTGTGTAGTGGTCTTTGTCATGTATATAATGTCGTAAAGTGTGCTCTCGGCAAACGTGAAACAGATGCGTAACTGTGCTGTGTAATCGTAGTTAAGTAAGTCTTTTTAGTTTAGGTGCTTTACTTTATTTGTAAATCTTCAAGTTTATTTTTTAAATCTGATTTCAGTGTATTTTTTTCTGTAATTCAAATGATGCTGTTGTGCTATAAATCTGTGTAAAGTTTATGTAAATCACAGGAATCTGTGCAAGGATGAAAGGCTGACATATTTCAGCTATCACAGTCTTTCAGAGGGTTTTCCTCTCCGTTTGTTCCAGACGTTTCGGTGTAGTAATTCTACTAGTGAGGAAAACCTAATCATTTAACAATGATTACCATTACTTTTCTTGGATTTGTCTTTTAAAATACTGGATTAATGGTGAAAGTTGACTATTAATCTGTGATTGGTTTAGAAATTTATTTTGGGAAGTTTATTTTGATTCAAAACCAGAGAAGATTATTATGACTTCTTTAAACGTTTTAAATGTAAAATGTTGTAAATGACTTTACAAAGGTATTGCTAGTTATGGAAATAATATTATGGTTTGCTTAACAGACATATGAAGTCAAAAAGAAACTATAGAAACAGGCAACTACAAAGAAAAACATGACAATTTAGTGTTTAGTGTTAGAGTAGTGAGACCCCAAAATAAAACATTAATAATAAGTAGACTTTAAAAGCCAGATTTCCCTAGCCGTCCTGAATAGCTGTAATGGCAAGCATGGTTTCTAGTAATAGTTTTAATGAACTTAAAATTCTTACCATGTGTGGAATTCTTATGGATTTGTCATTTGTTTATCTTTTTTCCTGTTCTATATCTATTTGATGAAGACATTACTTGCAAAAGAGCACTAGTTATGTGTCCAGCAATTTAGACATTTTACATAGCATATGTAATATTGCTTAAAATTGACAAAAGCAGTGTTAGATGTTAAATTAAAACACTCCCTATGCACTTTTGTACATATTTTTGTATGCAAACCTAAGTTCTAATCTTTGGATTTATATTGTACTGGCGACAGTCAAGATTCTTTCTGGGATTAATAATAAAATGCCTTGCTTCACTTTTGATCCGACTTCAGATTACAAAGGGGAGATCTGTGTCTTCTGCCACAGAATTGCAGCTCCTATTATGTATGGCCATTAAGCTCCAGCAATCCCTATGCAGCAGATCACACAGAGCAGTGAGGGATTGCTTCACTGAGTTAAGGGGGAACTTTAGAAAGACTGGATCGAATAAGCCAAAGGTGGAATTAAAGTGGGACGTAGCATGAACTCTATCCAAGTGTCAAGTCGCAAGCACCTTGGCTTAACATCTCTTCCTAAAGATGGCACATCCATCAACACTGTGGGCCTGGTCGCTATACTGGGCCATGTAGGTTTGGAAGTTCTGGTCCATGAATATCAACTACGGCAGTGGTCAGTTTGTCCTGAGAGGTGTGTCATCCCATTACTGACCAGGCCTGCTCTTACTTAGCTTCTGAGATCTGAGAAGATTGGGATGTAGGGTGGCATCACTGCTACCTTGAACAAGGATTCTAAATGGTAGGAACAAAATATATAATTTTATGTTTTGTGACTGTCATAAACGTAATATTGCTTAATGCTGATCTTTCTGTCTGAATGGTCTTATGTTATAAAATACTTCAACAAACTTTACCCACAGAGTTGTGGGCACCCCATCCGGTAATGAAGAAGAGGTACCTCCTGCTGATTTAGTATGGAGAAATCTCTCTCATTTTGCACATCAGCAGGTTTCCCTAGATTATTTTTAGGTGTCGGGGGGAGTCCTGTTCTCGTGTTGAATTTGTGATTGATGCTGTTTTTGTTGCATGTTTTTTAAAAGGAAAAGGCAGTATTAAATTGTTCCAGGCACTCATGGTGAGAAAACAGTCATCAGACGTTATTATTTGTGACCATTTTAATGACTGACATTAGGGTACTCAGCCAACTTTACTATGAACTATTAACTTTACTATTATGGTTTGAGTCAGGCAAAGTCTGAGGCCTCGGTAGGTAGATGGTCACTTACTTCATTTCGGAGACAGTCATTATAGAGTGTATTATTACTAAAGTTAACTTCAAATGAAATGTCTCTTTGAGAGACATCTACTGTTATTTCCTTTTTAATTTTAAAAATAATAGTAACAGTTTCTCTTCACACAGCTGTACCTCATATCTTTAAATGACTGTGTGTAACACTAGACCATTTCAGAAAGACTAGGATTTTCTCATTTGAAACAATGTAGCAGTTTGCTTACTGTTTCCACAAGTCAGCAGAAATACTGAAGGTGGTTCTAAGCTTTTTACACTACATAATTTGTACAGCTCTTTAGTTGTGTTTTGGAAACTTACTATAAACCTAGTGTGCAGTTTGTCGTGCTTTTACAGTGAAATAAACTTCAGTTCCCTTAATCTCTTAATTCTGTGTTCATTTATACTTTGTACAGTAATGCTGGTTTATCAGTCAGGGTTACATATGAACTCAGTTGAACTGGCTGTTTACCACCAATAATGGTGTGTTGCTATCTAATTCTTATAACATAATGCCTACGTTGTCATTTTTTCCCAGTCCTCTTGTTGATAAAATAACCTAAGCTTTCTGTCAGAAAAAAATAGAAAACCTCTCGCTTCTTTTTACCTGCATTGACTGTACTGTACTTCTTGAAGTTGTACCTTGTTTTGAGAAGTGTATTTTCTGCACTTGTCATGTGCAAAGCTGTTGTTTTTGGATTTTGCAACCATTTCAAAACATTTGCTTGAAACAATGTTAAATGAAAACTGTAATGGGTATCTGTAAATTGTGAAATAAAGACTGATTTTAAAAAAATATTTTTCTCTTTTCTTTTCCCCCTGTACAGGTACAGGAGAAAGTGGCAAAAGCACGTTTATCAAACAAATGAGAATTATCCATGGTTCAGGTTACTCGGATGAGGACAAACGGGGTTTCACAAAACTGGTGTATCAGAATATCTTCACAGCCATGCAATCTATGATAAGAGCCATGGACACTCTAAAAATCCCATACAAGTATGAACATAACAAGGTAAGATTTTCAAAATGTTTTGTCTGTGGTGCTGAGGAGAATGCTGTCTCTTTTTTTTTACTCCCAACCTGGTAAAAATAATGTATTGCCCTGCTGTGTTTTTCTGAATATAAGTAGTAATCTCTTGTGCCAAAAGAGCTTTTAGCTCCTTCACAGCTTCGGTGAAAATGTAAACTCTTGTATTGAAATAGCGTTTCATCTCTGCAGGTTTTTTATAACATACACTTGAGACAATCCTGAAGAGCTGCGATTGTTTTTGGAAAACCTTAGGCCAGTGTTAAAAACCACCTCCCAAAATGTGTTTTGTAATTTCTGAGGACTTCAGTTTTGGCTTTACACAGTAAAAAATAAAAAGTAAAGGCAATGGTTTGGTTTCTCGGATGATTCAAAATTTGACCTGACAGTCATTTGACACTAGAAGCTTGTAAGTATATTGTAAAGACTTCCAGACTCGACTTGTTTTTCGTGGCTCTGACTTTGACTTGAATCCCAGAAGCTGGGACTTGACAGTGCATGACAGGTATGTTTAATTATGCTTTGTGATGCATAGATAACTGACAATAAATTGATTTTTCTTCTAGAAAATGAAACCCTAACTTTATAAACATAAATACTGGTCTGTTGGGTGTTTATTTTTTTGCTGTGTAATATTCATTTATAATTTGAAAAGGTAAATTATATCTTTTAATATTTGATTCTGAAATCTATTACCGTTACAACCATTGAGGGCTTTAACTCATCAGTTCCTCAAGAACAGCTTACAGGTGACACTGATTAATAATCCCAGAGCCAATTTAGAATTTGGAATTACAATGCAATAGTATACCAACTGATATGTGCATGCTGGTACATTTTCTGCCAGTTGTTGAGTAAGACTTAAAAATCAGAAATTATTTTTCAACAGAACAAACATGTACACTAAATACAATAATCTCAACCTATATTTTAAATGCTTTTGGTTTATTTGGTTAACAATGATTATGATCTTATTTGAACTGAAAACTTGAGGAACCACTGACTGCCGCTAATTGCATTTTATGGGGAAGTAAAGTCATTTTATACTAAATGCAATAACTGCAGAACACTCTTAAGTAAAGTGAATTTTCACCTACTCTGACCATAAGTATGACTTGTTCTTCTCATGAAATGCTTATTAATTGTAAACAAAAAACGATAAATCAGATGAGTGAATCAGTTGCTCTGGAACAATAGTGACCTAGATCTAGCAAGAGAGGCAGCAAGAATTGTTTGGCAAACAAAAAATAATGCTCTAATGCAACATTTTCTGCAAAATGTAAATTTAAGAGTGTATGGCATCTAATTTTAACTGTCATCTTTCACTTATCCATCCAGACAAGGAAGTTGGTTCTGGAGCTCTAGAGTCAGTTTATTTGATACATTAATTACTTTGGCTCTATTTGGAACACTAAATGTATTAGAACTGAGGATGTGTCAGGATGCGCATTTGAAATAAGCATCTAGGACAGATAAGGTTAGATGGATAAATATGGTATTTTGACATCTTGCTTAAGGTTTTTTTAATGAATACTTGTTTTGTAATAATTCTTCATACTTACAGTTCACCAAACACAAATGCCTTAGGGATACCCAAAAGAATTAACTGCCAGCTGTTATTATTGGTATTGTTATTATCGTGGCTGTTTGTCCTACACAGTAAATCAGCATCTATGTTAACCCTGTGTTTTTGTATTATGTGTAGTGGGGTTTGCAATATGAAAACATATGAAGCATTAGTAAATGTCAAATTTTTGACAGGATTATGTATTTTGAGGATATATTTAAACTCTTTTTACTTTTGCTGTCTTACATGTTTTATATGGTTACATCGTTTTTTTATTTAAACATTTATCAAATTGTTACAGATGGTATCCACTACTGATTGATAAGAGTACTGAGGCAATGGTAGAATAAGGTTTTGCAGGGTTAATCTGGTAAAGTTTTATTCAGCTGTAGAACAGTGACCTTTTTAACGATTACATTATTGTTTTCCATTGATAAATAATTTTTCATTTATTATTATTATTTTTATTATTGGTAGTGCTAGAAGCAGATGTAGAATTACGCACCTAGGTTAACTGATATACACCTTCATCTTAACAATGGTAAGAATGTTTATATTTTTTGTATTTTATAATACTATCACGGCCTGTGTTGTAAAATGCAACAAGGTCTTATTAAATTGCAGAATATTTGAAAAGCAATTTAATTTAACATACTTTATGGAGGGGCTGTTCCCTTTTCTTTCAGCACTTTGTTTCCATTTTTACTTAGCTGGTTTGAAGAAAATTCTGTTGTTTATCATTTGAGGTTTTTTTTTTTTATCCAGGCATTGTTTAAAGTAGAACTCAGTTTTGTTCAGTTGACTTAAGGTCAGATTTGGTGGTTGTGGAGTGGAAACCAATGATCATGAGTCAGACTTGAACCCGTATTTTTTTTATTTGGATTTGACTCTGTCTCAACTATAGATGGACAGATTGGTTAGGAGTGCATCGCCCCCTGCCTGTCCATCAGCCGTTTAAAGATCTGTTTTTGATTTTTAAGAGTTGATCAGCATTAAGTGCGATGGAAGTAGCAGCTGTAATATTGCATTGACCTGAGTTTTTTTTCCCAGTTAGTATTTCATAAGCACCTTTCGTGCATCTTATGCTTAAGCCACTCCTGCCTGTTTTTATTGCTGAATCACGTTTACTTGCTCGACATCATTTTTTTTAGCTTGGTATTGCGCTTTCAAATTTCAGTAGGTAATGTCGTAATCTTAGCTGTGTGATATTGCTCCTCTTACTGTACAGTGTAATTTGGTTACTGTGTAATTGCCCATCAAATAGTGATACTTCGCTGAACATACTGTGCAATTGGATAAAGGTAACCCACTAAATAAAATACTTAGAATTAAGAACCTTGTTTTTGAGTGTTGCCTTGCATGTGAGGAACATTTCCTGAATTAAAATAACAGTAAATACAGTAAGATCCTCTTCCCTGTCTGATATCATACCTTCTCAAACTTGTTTTTAGTCTGTAATCTGTTTAAGAGTCTTTATCCAGGAGGGATGGGAGGTATGTTTTGTTGTGTAACAAGGCTCCTGGAGGAACTATCTTCTGTTGTTCCATGCAGTTTTATGAACTTGGTCTAATTAACTGCTTTTGAGAGTCTTTACCAGGCTCTGTTGTGATATAGAGGTAACTCTACCCTTGGGAAGAAAACGCCAATATATTTCTAAGTTGTAGGCTGATATATTTAGTTTATTAGCCAAAACAAAAGCTGGAACAAAGACCAGAGGCTTCCAGGAAATGAAGATGCGCTCATTGTATAACATTCTCGGTAAAGTCATGCATCTTAACCCCAGTGCTGCATGTATTTTCAGCCCCTGTGGAGGTTCAGACAGACCAGATGTGTCAGTGTTTGCATTTAATTTTATATCTGTATGAATTTTTAAGTACAGTATTTGTAATTGTTCCTTACTGTATACAGATGTGTCCAAAAGGGTTAAGTCAACACAATGAAGTTAAAAGAAAAAATAAAGATGCCAAAAATATATCTCCCCCACCCCACACACACACTCCACAGATAGATCTGCTCCATTACTAGCAGGTCAGTGATACTTTAATGCCTTTTCTAGGCAAGAAGCAATAAGTGCCTCTGGAGCTCCTTTCTTAAGTGTGGTGTGAGGTGGGGTGGACTTAGGAAGTGATGTAAATTCTCTGGATAGCTCACTACTGTTATCTTTTTCCGCCCCTGTGAAATTCTGACAAAAAGGGGTGGCAGATAATAAGAAAAGCAGTGCTCCACCCAGTTAAACATAATGTGCATGATGCATAATGTAGGTTGACAGAATTGTGTTTGTGCCAATATTCATGACACTGATGGGGTTAAGTTGTCATAAGCATGTAGTCATTTAGATAATTTATGACGGTATGTTCTTCATTCCCACTTCTTTCTGTGTGGTTGGTTTGTTGATTTGAGGTCAGTGCATTAGTGGAAGTAAAAGAAAAGCTTGCTTTTTTTCTATTCCTTGGACAAGCCATTGAGTTGCCTTTTTTTTTTGGTCACATTTTTTTAATGGTCTTTAGTTTAGTTTTTTTGGAAGATTACTGTAGCCTTACATGCTGGTCTGCTAAAAAGACTATTATTTGTTACAGAAATCATTTGAAATGGGGTTCAGTTATTTGTTCGCTCAGTAGTGATCTGGGAAATCTAAACGGGTTCAAAGGGTAACTGTCACTGTACATCCTATTCACTTATTAATGGGTCCATGTGTTCCAGTTCCATTACTGAAACCTTACTTTCTGAAGAAACGTGGCACCTTGTTCTTTGTGTTTGTAGCCCAGCTTTTACACTTCCTGTGCTGCTTTTGTTTCTACATGCTGAATCACTCGAGCATTGTGGTAATGTCAGCAGTCAAGACAGATACAACATTCATCTCCTTCCCGTATGCATGACAAGTGATAACAAATTACTTATCACACTACAGAGAAAGTTGGAAATAATGGCAGGGCAACACAGAACATGTCATAGGAGGCTTTTAATTATGTTTGATTGCTTTGGTATCCTCAAAATCAGCAGAGTGTGTCCGTGTTTTTTTTCCAATACATTTGTTTTTAAAAATATTATTACCTGGACTGTAGTCCAAGGCTGTGTGTGTGGCAGTTTTTTTGTAATGTAGGTTTGTTTTCTTATTTTAAAAAATGCTACTGTTTCTGATTGAAGGAGATCAGATTCCTTTATTCACTGCCAGAACACAGTGTAACATTCTCTTAATGTTCCAAAATTTGAAATGAGAGTCACTCTTTCTCGCCTGCGTGAGTATACAGGTATTTTTTAACTTGCTGTCTAGTCTAACATTTTTAACAGGAAGCTTCTAATGTCTCAGCAGTGAAATTAGCCAATAATGTTTCCCTGAGGTCCTAAGAGATACTTACTACATCCCATCTATTATTAAAACCAGTGCACATTACTTTAGCAGGATTGACATTATTGTGAT